GAACCCGTCCAGAAGACCTATACAATTTTTTTCTTTTTGATTTTTTACCTGGATTACTGAGATGCATCAGGACAGAGGTAAAGTGTTTCTCAGTAACATGGTAGTCCTGCCATGCCTTTAGCTCCTTCCAACAGAGGAGAGGACAGGATCATCTGACGGCAGTTTGTAGTGGGATGACAGAACTCACACAACCACAACGAAGTGTGGAATTTCTCGTTTCACTGCACGGTTTTCTTTAATCTGGACGCAATGAACATAAGCAGCCGCTAACGTGGGACCACACCCCTGTGTGGACACAAGGCACATCAGGCAGCCGAGTCATTATCAGGACTTGGAGGCAAGAGAGCTGCTGACTTATGTAACTGTCACAACCAGCCTCGTACGTTTTTTTTTTTTACTGGAAACTCTTTAGATCTGCCCCTGTTGGTCTCAGCTCTGATGAAGACCTGGAGAAGAAAAWAACCTGAAGAAGAAAAGGTGCAGACAGCCATCCAGTGAATCTGGCCCTTCTTGCTGCTACTCATGTGGAAAACATCACGTCACGCTCGTGTTCACTGCAAAAAGCAGAGGCAGGCGGCACATGCAGGATGAAAGGTCAGGCGTTCCTCCTGAGGAGCTCACAGGGAATTTGCATGACTCGTTTTCACTTTCAAACATCCCGTGGCGTCGAGGCCGCAGCGCCTTTCAGTCAAATCAGGATCATAAAGGAGCTTCATCAAGGTAAACACACTCCCACTTCCTGTRCCCTACCTTTAACTTGCCCTACAACCTGCAGAATCAGTCATATCTACAGGTCAGTTTGATCTAAACCTTACATTTTAAGCTGATAATTGACGCCATTAGAAGCTAAACTTCAACCTAGACTAGCTGATCTGACCATTTCGTGAAAGCAACAAAAGGGACACGCTCAACTGAATAAACATCATCAGATAAAAGCAGTATAACCTGTAAGTTTTGATTTTAGTGAAAAAAAAACAGAAATTTGCCAAGAATTAACAACACAAAGCTGAATTTCCACTCAGAGATTGTTCAAAGCAGCTATTGTCAAAACCAGCTTCTTTTCGCACCCAGCAGCTTTTTTTCACCTTTACCTGTTTCTTTTCCTCTTTGATGCCTCAGACCTGTTTTTATCACAGTCCACTGAGTGTTTTTGGCGGGATGAGGCTGAAGGAATCTGTGAGGAGCCTGGCAAAGCAGTGACCAACAGAGAAATGTAACACTTCCCTGTCAGGTGCAGTCATAATGTGACAGATACTTAGTTTGGAGCTTTTTCTTATGTAATAATATTCAATTTAATTCACCCAAAACACAGAGATTTAACATCAGGAGTCACTTAATATTAAGTGTTTGACCTTATGATTATGATTATTCAGCATTTGGACACTCTCCTCCTTAAAGACAAACCTTACACAACTTCAGACTTGCGTCATTTCCCAAAAAGCTGTTTCTTAMTAAATAACCCAGAAAAGACGCACAAAAATCCACTTCCTTGTTTGCAGGAAGAAAAAGAGAGAAAAAAAAAACTACAAGTGCATGTTCAGCAGCACATTCAGGCTGAGACTAAACTCCAAATCAAAGTCTCCCATTTTATTACACACTACTTTTAAAATTAAAATAACCAGAAAACATGAGCTTTAACAGCCTGCTGTGTGTTTTCTGTGTGTGTTTAGAAGAAGATGCGTCCCTATAATAAGTTGAGAACACCTTGTATCGGAACAGCTGGATGACACCTGCAGTTTTTCACCTGGTCCGCACATCCTCACGTGCCACTGACATGTACACCTTGTTTCAGTGACTGTTTATTTGTTTATTTTTCTTTTTTGTGCGGATAAAAATGAAGAAAATACCTGCAGCGTTTTTCGGGATGATGAATCCGGGAGTCTTGTCTTCTCYGGTTTGGAAGAAATCTCGTCCTGGGCGCTGCAGTCCTCTCAGAGAGGCTTTTCCTTCCAGCAGCCGATAAATAAATGTTTCAGCGTCTCGGAGTGTCAGCTCTACTTCTGTTCACCGCAGACTGGAGAGTTTTCTCCGCTCTCTGCTGCAACAAACCCGGACTGTGTTCCTCTCTGCCTGTTCCTGCCTCTTTTTTTTTTTTTTTTTTTTTTTTTTTTCACTCAATGCGCCACAGGAACGACTCGCTGTCGCCCTCTGCTGGCAAATGTAAACACCTGCAGGTTGCTTTAATTGAACTGATG